AGCACTGTGGTCCTGCCCACAGCTCTCTTCTGCAGCTCCAGGCTGAGAACAGTTGCCAGGTCATTGGCAGCGGCAGAGTCTTGGCTTTAAGGATATTCAGCTTAAATGACAAGTCATTTCAGCTTCCATCTGTGTGAGGGAACATGGACATACAAGTGTTGCAAAAATAGCCTTTGGGTTCACAGTGACAGTCATGATGTTTTCCTCACTGGTGGGAAATACCTGAGAATTATCTCTGCTCAGCAAAAGAGGAATGGAAGACAGTAAATATTGTGGAATGTTCTGTCCACTGACGTGGTTGCACTGTGTGGTATCAAAATAAATTACAAATGTTCTGAAATTAATAGGAGATCCAATCCCTGGAAAACCACTCCTGATGGTACACTATATTGATTCAGTGAATTCATCATTACTTTGCAGGAGCAGTGTGTCCAGGGTCCCTTTCCCCACACTTCCTTCCAGGAACAGATGGCAATGCAAACAAAGGGAACAGTGCTCATGTGCATCAGTCCAACCAGGAGCTTCTCCACCAAGCAGAACTATTGCAGGTACTAACTGTAGAAATTAAAACACTCTTGGGATCATTGGACCTGCTCTACTTGACTTTTACTTCAGTATTTCCTGAAAATAACTAGTTTGCTTGCAGCAAAAATGAAACCCAAGGCTCTGTGAGGCCTGACAATCATTTGGCTGTCCCATCTTGTAAAGACTGATCTAACCTCCAACTTGCCAGCAGAGTTAATTGTCACAGCACATCGGGAGAAGATCCTACAATGAAGAGAAATGTTCTGGCTCTGCACTGTGGTGTTGCACTGAGAGCAATGGTCCCATGGCAGGTGCCTTGGCTGGGGAAAATGGGCAAACATGGGAACAGTGTGGTCACTGGAGTTACAGGTGCTCGCTGCATCTGTGGGGTAAACACAACTGCACATCAACGCACTTCGAGGGATGCCAAGGATGAGACTGGGGCATGGGGGGTGCCAGGAGTGAAAGACGGAACACAGGGTGGTGTCAAAGGCACCTTTGTGTTTGAGAGAGGTTTGTCAGACACGACAGGGCTGGTGTGGGGCGAAGGCCGGCCCCGTGCCCCTGAGCGGAGCCGGACTGGCCGCAGCGCTCCCTGGGCCCGAGCCCCGCCGCCTGCAGGGTCTAGCCGACACCCCGCTCGCACGCCGCGAGCACATTGCCGAGCACACAGCAAGGGACGGCCGGCCCGCCTCCGCGCTGCGGCCACGCACAGCCCCCTCGCCCTTCCCGCCAGCCGGCCAGGCGGGGCCGCGGCGTCCCGCGCGCCCGGCCGGATGTGAGCGCGGCGGCCGCTTTCCTGCGCCCGCGCCGCCCTCTCCTCCCCGCCCTTGGGTGGTGCCGCAGCCTCGTCCCGCTTCGCAGCTCAGCGGAGGCGCCGGCGCTCCCGCCAGCAGCCGCATGCAGGCCATCAAGTGTGTGTGGTGGCGACGGCGTGAGTCGGGGAGCCAGGGCCGGCGCGGGACGGGGTCGGGCCCGGGGCAGGAGCGGCCCCCGGGCCCCGGCGCGGGGTGTGGCGAGCCCGCGCGGGCCGAGGCCGGCCCGCGGAACGGGCTGCCGGGCCGGGGCCGCGGGCCGGGTGGGCCGGGACGGTGTTGGGGGCCGGGCGCGGTGTGGGGGTGTGGTGGGTGTCGCGCCGCGCTTCCGCCGTGCCGAGGGCGGGGAGGAGCGGGCGCGGCGGCCCGCGGAGCGGAGCCCGGGTGTCCCGGGTGTCCCCCGGGGTGTCCCCGGGGGTTGTCCCACTGGTTTCCCACAGTTCCCCACGGGTCCCCGCGCTGCGCCCGCCGGGCCGGACCGTTCCCGGCGGAGCGGAGGGTGCGCGGGGCTGTCCCTGGAGCTGCCGCTCTTCCTGTAGTCACCGAAGTAATCCAAGGGTATTAAACCCCCCCCAACAAACTATGTTTTTAATGACATGTGAAATTTAATGCTGGTTTGAAACGTCTTTTTTGAAAGTAAGAAACTTATTAGGCTTTAGAGCTTCATTTTTTACATCCGACTCTCGCAGTAAAACTGAGTGGAATGGGCTGAGCCCTGAGCAGATCGTAAATGCCTGTGGGCAGAGGCTGCTTTTGTGGCTGCAAACATCTGGTCTTGTAAGGCTCCTGTCTAAAGGAGGCTGATAAGGCACCCGAAATACAAATAATTATATACTTGTCTGTAAAGAGCTGTTACAACTACAGCATCTAACATGGTGCTACTTATAAGTGAAACAAGTTGGGGAGGCTTTTTAGAATCGAGTTAGCTCCTAAATTTAGCTGTTGAATTTCAGTGTGGGGAGTGCTGGAATTGAGGTGAGGAGAGAGTTTGTGTGTTTGCTGTTTCTGTGTTTTCCCCACGATGCTGTTCCCAAAAACTCGGAGGGATTCCTTCTCTTACTGGATGTCAGAGCTCAGGGGAACATCACAGGCCAGTTGGAAAACAAGACTTGTCTTATGCAGTTTGAGAGACATTTTTTCCCTTAGGAGAAACAAAAATCCCAGTGTAGGCTGAGCATAATTGGTATCACAGCAAACTTCTGTAGATGACAGAAGAGTGAAATGTAATTAAATGGTCTTGATACTGTGATCTGTAATTTCACGTGGTGGCTTAATCTTCAAGTTATTTTGTGGAGGGGTTTTGTTGATTGGTTTTTAATTATGTAGCAAAGTATGGTTGAAAGATAAATTTACTGTGTGACAAACTTGTTTTGACTTGCTAGGTAAGATTTTGAGCAATATGAACAAAAAAGTGGTACCTTGATAAATGAAGAATTTTCATGGTAATGTAATTCTTTGGTGACAGATAGGATAACTATGGATTGCTCTTCTGGTTATATTGATTTTAAAGCAAACAAATTTGCTTTTCTGTATATAATTTTTTTTTTAGTTCAACTGAACTCTGTATTTACAATGCCATAAATGAACGTGATGCATTGTATTTGGGTGGGGAAAAACGTTCAGTCTACTTCCTCCACTAGATTTGAGAACTCAAAAAAACTGTATAGTGTTCAGTAATTCATTCAACATAACAGTTCTTTTGGTCATCTGGTTTGTAAACCATCCCACTTCCTAACATGTTTGTTATTTTTTGTCTTGGAAATGAAAGTGGTGTAATTCTACTTGAGTTCTGTACATATTTGTGAACAAAATACAGTAGTTTAATTTGTTTTCCTTCCTCCTTAGTTAGAAACAAATCTCTCTTTTAAGTTTCCGTTCAGGTATTGCTCATTTTTGGCAGCTCTGTATCGTCCTCCGTTCAGTGTTTTTAAAAATACTTAACTATTTGTGTGTCTTTGTTCTGTTGCTGCTTCAAGAGCTCCAGCATTACAGGTATTCTAGGAAACGTGTCGTGTTTGGCTTAGATAAGGCCAAAGCTTTGGTGTTCCTGTGAAACAATGCAAGTTAAAGATTTGCTTATGTAATATAAAACTTGGGCATTGTTTTGTGTCCCCTCCGTAAAGATCTGCTGGGAACAAAATAACCAGAGCTCTAGAAGTACCTGTGATTAATTTTTAATTTGTTAATGAGTAGGCTGTTTCTCATATGTAGCTCATGGTTGTTCTTGGAGTTTTGGCTGGTATGTGTTTAGACAACTGACTTGGCTAGAAGAGCGTGCCATGTGTGCTGGTTGGGCTGTCCCATTTTCCCCTTGGTTTTTTTCTCTTCGCTCTGAGGATTGTTTGGGGGAAAATGAATGGCAACTGTTGCTTTGAGCTCTGTGCTAGAGAGCAGCAGGAATGTGCAGGACAGATGAGGAGCAGCCGCTTGAGGAACTGCAGGAATTGCTGGTGATTGACACTTGAGAAAAAGCATTTGTTGAAGTTATTTTTAGCAGCCTTTGTTTTCACTCTAAAAAGGCAGCTGTTGAGTGGTATGAAATCTCCAGTCATGGTGTGTAATGTTAGGAGAGTTCTGTCTTTTGGAGAAATCACCAATTACTGGATGCCATGGAAGTGGTCACACTTCATGCTCTTTTGTAGGCATTTTTTAATTGTAGAAATACTGCAAGAGCAGTGATTTAGGAGTCCCTCTTTGGAATTCTGCTTAATCTGAGGCCGTGTGTACTAAAGCCGTGCTGTATTTGATTTGATGGCTTGTGAGGGGGGTGCAGGGTAATTCGTGTGAGATGCTGGACACTTCAGGTTCCTCCCGAGCCATCTGTAGAGAGCACAGTGACTTGAAATTTAGTGACTTGTGTTACTGAACTTTTTAGAGTTTTTAAAAGAAGTAGTAGCATTTTAAGTCCTGAAGAGCATATTTGGGAGAGGGTGTGTCCGAGTGAGTGGTGTGTCAGAGAGGGTGTGTCCTAGTGCTTATCTGGCAGAGCCGCGTGTAGCTAAACCTACTGTAGCAAAAATCCTGAACTCTTGATCTGAGGGTGGTACTGGAGAAATCTCAGCTGCTGTTCAGTGGTGGAGTGAAGAGCTGAGCTGTTGTGCATCCTGTTTGCCAGACACGTAGTTCATGTGGGGCAGAGAAAGGAAGAAATGGCACAATCAAAGCTTTTTATGAAGGCTGCCTCCTGTTTGCAGATAAAACATGGCTCCAAGCAGCTCTAACACAGTGGGGAAATTTCATAGAATTTGTTGTTGTATATAAGACCAGGAAAGAGAAGATATGTTTTGTTTTCAGGAATTAATACATATGTGGTTATATGAGTGCATTGATTCCTGGTTGCAACCCAGAACCATAAAGAGACTCAGTGCAGTCCTTTGTTAAGGTAGTTTTGTTAAGCATTTGAAGCTGGATTTCTGTAGGCCACGTTTTTAATGACAGTCAAATGTTGCTGGTTTCATTTATGTAATAGTGGGTGGACAGAGCCGTGATTAAATAGTTGCTAGAAATCTTATGACTAATCTTGGTGTTATTTTAGTTTCTTAGTCTCAGCCTTCATGTGCAAGGATTTAGATTTTGCCAAACATTTTGAATTCTCTTTAGGGGAGTTGCTTTAATACAGAAGTTAGAAGTCTAAAAAAGTTGATAAAGCACTTAGAGGATGTACTTTATAAAGGTAGGCATTAGTGTTTATTTTTAAGACTGGTGACCATAACGATCTGATTCGTGGGGCAGTGAGCCAAAAGGCAAGGAAGGCAGGAAACCTGGATGGAGCAAGTCTGAAACAGGGTTGTTGGACGTGTTTTTTCTTGTTTAAACGACTCTGGCTGATTGGTGCTGCAGAAACACACTACAGGCACTTCTGAGCTTGGAATGGAATCTCTCACCACCTTCCTGGCTGCTGTGATTAGCCAGAGCACACTCACCAGTTCCAGTGCAAGGTGAGCAAAGGAGCCTGGGTGCAGAGAAAAGTTCTCGATCCGCTACTGAAAATGCTGAGTTCAACATGAATTTGGTAGAAGCTAAAATTACCTGTAATGAACTTACTGGAAAATGAAGCATCAGACCAAACAGGTTCTAGAAGTGTGAGAACATGTTGTTTCTGCAGCTCGAGAAATTTCCCAGAGCAGTTGGCTCTTGCTCCTCTCGGGATCTTGAAGGTTTTCCCAGTTGTCCTTCCTGAGCTGACCCAGAGTAGCCGCCTGGATTGTGATGTGAGAGCAGTTCAGCAGTGCATCCAAACTGGTCTAACTCATCAGCAGGCAGCTAAAATAGCAAGTTGTCCTTATGGAGGAGGAATAACTTTCCTTCGCTCCCTGTTCTGGCTTGTTGCAGTCAGTGAGTGCTGGTGCAGGAGCTGAGATGGGATCTCCTCTCTTGACAGCTGTTAAATAGGTATCTGTGGGGTGAGCTGCTCCTCCATTCTTTCCCACAGAAGTCTTTAAAGGGTAAATCCATCTTCTGCTTTTGAGCACAAGTGTATCTCAAGGCTTTTGCTACAGGGAAATGTTCAGAGATTCTACTTAACGAGAACAGAATTTTATGTTGTTATTATAGCTTGGTAAGAGTGCATGCTGAAAGGAAAAAAAGGCTCAGACTGTGTGAGGAGGTGAAAAACAGGGTGGAAAGCTGCATGGTATGATCAGAAAGAGTTGCAGCAGATGGGGTGTTATGGTAGGTATTGGCTCAGAAACATAGAACAAATTACAATTAAAAATGGGCTGTAAGACAAAATCCCAGCTAATTTTGCACAATGAAGCAACTCTTCCATAGCTCAGGTATTTAAGGTGATGTTGTCAGATGCTGCTCTCAAATACTTTCTTGGGCTAATGCAGCCTGGACCTGCTTAAAGTTCAACTGAGAGACCTGGTACAGACTGAGCTGTGACAATGGTTGTGACAAAGCTCAAATTTACCTGTGACAGACTTAGTTCAGGAGGCTCCTGAGTCAAAGCTAATGCTACTGGCGAGATCACGGTGTAGGTGCAGTTGGGTTTCAGAGTTACTGCTGACTTTGAGCAAATCGCTGTGGTGATAAAACATCTGCAAGACAATGGAGTTTCCTTGCACGGAGCTCAGTCTGTTGGGGAGGAGGGATTGGGCTGCAGGGCTCTGGTGGTATCCTTGGAGGAACCAGTTGCATGCTCACCCCTGGAATCTCTCACACTGCTAAAGGATTATGCAAGTGGGAAGCCTGCAAGGGAACCAGCCTGCAGTGTCAGAAACAGTCTTTGCAGAGTCTGTTTTAAAAAATTTCAAGTTTTCCAACACTTTAATTGAAACTGTAACAAAAACTCAGAAGTGTCATTAATCTGATGTTTGACTCCAGGTAAGATGTGGAGAAGGAAGGACCTGGCTGCCAGAGTTTTGAAAGGAACCTGGAATGGAACCTTGTCCTGCCCCCATTTGAGGCTGTTGAGAATTAGATTAGTAGGGAAAGGTTTGGTGTTCCAAGTTTTCCAATAGTGGAATGTGATTTATCTATAAATCAGTTCATGAAATGTTTGAATAGTTGGTGAATGCACGTGGGGAGCCTTTGCAATAGCAATAAATAATGTGGGGGTCATCACTTGTATTTGTTCCTTAAATACTCAAAAGTAATGATGTGTTGAGAAGTTATACTTTCCATGCTTTCTTTAATTTTACTTTTGTGCAAGTATGCCATTTTCTGGAAAATATAACAGTTTTGGAATTATGTAAAGGGTATCTGGAAATACTTCTCTTTTTTTTTTTTAATTTCAGGGAGTTGGAGTAAGGCATGAGAATTACATGAGTTATCACTCAGGTGACCAGCAGATGTTAGTAGTCTTATTAATGCTTGTGTTTGGTTTTTTGTGTTTAAAATTTACAAAATTTATGACTTCACAGAATGGATGTTTATATTAGGTGTGTTTTCATTGCCAGTTATCTTCAGGCTGCAGTCTGTCAGCTGGTTTCCTGCCCAGTAACTGCTGACACTCCTCAGTGACACTCCCTGGGAGACAGGTCCTGAGGTGACTGGGTGTAATTAGTCTTCTTCCTGTAAAAGGAATATGATTTCTTGTTATGTGAATGTGTTTTACATGTGAACTTTCTGTTTTTGCAGTGCTGTAGGTAAAACATGCCTGCTCATCAGCTACACAACCAATGCATTTCCTGGAGAGTATATACCCACTGTGTAAGTACTTATCAGATAACTCATTTCTGTCAACTTCTCTGTGCCTACTGCCATTCCAGATTCCTTATTTGAATTATTGGAATTGACTGCAAGTGCCCCTCAGTTCCATCTGAAATGTTTAGCTGAGTATCCAGATGTGCCTAGAGAGAAGCACTTTGGGCTTTTACTGCTTAGCACAGTCACAGCAGTGCTCCTTCATGGTCCCTCAGTGTTGGCTCCCTCTGCCCTGGCTGAACAGGGACTAATACTTGCTAACATTTTATCAGATGTTGTTCTCTTTTAAAATAGTGTTTCTGTCATTAATGTCATTCATTATAAGCAGTCCCAAGGCTGAACAGCTTGTAAAACATCAAGTCATAGTCAGGAATAGTTGGCTTGCATGGCTGGAGATTTTTTGTTTGTTTGTTCTCTCCCCTTTTTGTGCTGCTGCCAATGCTGTGCTAAGCCAGTCCCAGCTCTGGAGCTCCTCAGGCGAGACAGTGGGGACTCATTTATTTTGGTGCTTCCCGTTTTCTTTCGGAATTAGTGCAGTTCTCTTTCCAAGGGCCTGCTGGGGGGAGGTGTCTTATACATGAGCAACTTCTTTGCCCTTTTCAGATGTCTTTATATTTTGATGAATTTTTCAGATAACCAAATACATTCTAAGGAGATGTACAGATGAGTTTTGTTACCTGGGTGAGGCCTCGTTGCCTTAGTTACTCGTGTTTCTTTTCTTTGGTCTTAAATTCAGATTTTTGCATTACAGTGTCTTGTGTTCCCAGTGAAAGTGGTTGAGCCTTAACGAGTCATTAAAACCTTTGCACTCACACTATTGATGAGATGATAACAATGCCTCTACTGGCCCCTGGTTATTGGCTTTGACACTTCATTGGAGGGGTTTTTGATTAGCAGGATTGATAAGCTTTTCTCTTACCTGCTCCTGTCATTAAGGATTCCTTGGTTGCTGCTCATGTATCTTCTATTCTAAATCTTACAACATGAGACAGATTAACTTGCTGAATGTCCCACTAAGGCTGGAAAGTGCTTGCTAAGTACATCCCCTGCTTTCCTCTGCTCACTATGATTAACTCTCCCCTTGGAAGAGCCATGACAAAGATGACTTCTGCTCAGCCTGGACCAAGTCTGTTGTGCGTATTTTTTTATTCCATTACCCAATACCAGCCTCATTATTTAAAGAACAGCTTTACTGTCTCTGGGGAGCAGAAGGATGCAATAAAAGTTTCTTCCCTAGTTTTCCCAGTTAGGGCTCTGTGAGGAAAAAGTCCTTGGGTGCCTTACTGTACTGCCAACTAATGCAGCCAACTCTCTGTTTGTTTTTAGTTTTGACAACTACTCTGCCAATGTAATGGTTGATGGCAAACCAGTCAATCTGGGTTTATGGGACACAGCTGGTCAAGAGGACTATGACAGACTACGTCCACTCTCCTACCCACAAACAGTAAGGATGCCCTGAGAAACCTCAGGGAGTCTCAACAGCTTTGTCTGACATAAAGCATTTCTCTTTTTGAACAACGGGCCAGCATTGTCACACCCAGAGTTGTATTTCTTAGTGACTTGTTGCAAGCTCCTTTCCTTCATCTTGCTGTAGCTGTAATTTATGATCTTTGATGTGTGTACAGCTCTACAAAAGCTAAAATTTGCATGGTTGTGTGTTTGTGTGCACTGGTACTTGTTGGCATTTGTGTAGTTGCAGCCTCAGAATCGGCCAGAATGCTTGATTTAAAAGGAAAAAGAAAAAAACCATCCCAAAACAAATGCAAAAACCTCTTGGTGAATAGTCCCATCAGCCAGGCCATTGATTTCAAGGTTAGCATGCCTGCCAAAAGCAGGGTTTGTTTTTGTTTTTAGGCGCGTTTTGGCTGCAACCTGACACTGTCACTGCTAAGCACTTGATATTGTTCAGCCTCTGAAGATGTTCTACATGTGAAAGAGGCAGCACTGAATGAAGAGATTATTGGTATTGACAGAGGCCCAGCGTTCCAACGCACTTGAGCCCGTGGCTATTTTATTACTTACTGTAATTTGTGCTGTAACATCGATACAGATGTGCTTCTGTCTTCCCTGTTTGCAGCTGGTTAAGCCCTGCCTGCATCCTGCATCTTTCCATGTTTGAGGAAAACACTGAAGTGATCTGTTCTCTTCTTTCCAGTGCAACCTGAGTTACAGTTAATCTTTGTAGAGGCTGGTTTTCTAATCTCTTTAAAGCAGTGGCTTTTACCGGGTGGAGCTGTGCTACAAGTAAAGAAAGGGTAATTTGCAGGGTTTTCTTGACATTGATTACTGTTGTTGTTGTTAACTGTCAGATATATGTTCAGTGGTAATAATGTAAAATGCAACATTGTTCCACTTACCTGCAGCATAACTGCTCTCTTGAGTAATGTGAATCTTATTTAAGGAACTCTGGTGCTATTTTTAGTAAACTGTCTTAATTCACAATTTTCCTTAATTCACTGCTCACTGACTCTTACAGTTTTTAGGCTTTCCCCTCAGTAACAATATCCATGTTGAATATGAACTTGCCAGTTGTGGGCAACTAAAGTTGAAATGCAGAAATACCTGTCTCTCTTGGGAAGAGAGACAATGGAAAGCTGGTTTTCTCTAATCCTTAGATATTTATAGGATACTTAAAGCCTCATCTTCGCTTAAATTTTTCTAAATAAAAATATTTAAAAAAAAATATCTGAGGGAAGAGAAAGGCTTGTGAAACATACTTAATAGTGTGAGAATGTCGAGTTGTGAGGGAGTACACTGTGCCTCCCCTGTGACAAAGGGACAGAATGCACGTGCCTGTCTGCAGCCTGCTGAGGTGACCGTGGCTTTCTGGTGGACTGCCAAAGAATTCCATGTCCATCTGAGCATCTGGTGGAAAAAAATGTCTTCTGTACAAGCAGGTATAACTGTTAAGTACAGGTCTGAAGTACTTTCAGTTATTTGGATTGCTTTACAGCAGAAAATGAACCAGGGTGGTAAGTCTTGAACTTCTTGTGAAGCAATCTGCAGATTTTAGCCTCGTGCAGTGTGAGATTCATCACCCCCAGGGAACTGCCAAACAGCACAGAGGAAGAGAACAGTGGTGCTGATGAAGCCTGACCTTTTTTTAGGATCTGTGTTCAGCCTCCCTCTTCCTTCACTGTGCTATTTAAAACTCACCCCCTGCTTGTTCTTTGTCCCCCCTTTCCCTGTATGTGCACCTGAACTGTGTCCTGGGCAGGGTGAAAGCAGCAGGTGGTGGTTACTGGGGCAGTGTGTGTGTTGGGATCAGCCACCCAGCAGCACCAGCTGGGAACTTCACAGGGAGGTCTTGGCATTAATCTGCATCTTTTCCCCTTACTCATATTTTTATTCCTTGAAATATACAGGAATTTAATACCTTCTCCCGAATTTATTCCAAATCTGCTCGTGTTTCCAAGTACTCGGGGAAGGAAATTGGGACAGAATAGGTTAACTTTGCTTGCTCAGGGGGACCAAAGCAAAAAGCAGTTGTTAGTAGGATGCTTTCCAGGGGAGGTTTGCTCTGGCAGGTCCCCCTGCTGGTTTCTGGGAAGGCTGTGCCTGTCCTGGGTGCAGGGAGTTGGTTGTGCTGAGTTACAGGGCAGCGTCTCTCTTAAGAAGAAAATCCACCTTGAGAATATCTGTGAGCACAAGTTGCTGACTGAGAACGTTTTCCCTTAAATCCATTTGAGGAGTAACTTTATCTCCTACTGTTATTAGGTTGGAGGAACCAATGGTAAGAATATATCTTCCAGTCTGACAGATGAACCTATTGCCGTATGTAAAACTTTAAATAAACCTCAGTTCCAAGTTCTGTCATCTTGTCTTGCTTATGATAGTGATAAATTGGCCCCTATTTTTTGAACAACTACTTTTCTTGGAACTATCAGATTCCTAGATCTGAGAACTCTGTTATCAAATTTCTTTATATGGTTAAGATAAAATATTTTCTTACAAATAAACAGCTTTTCCTACTTAAGATTGGTAGTGTGCAAGACACCTGGGATCTTCCAGTAATTCCTGGTGGTTACACCACACCTTTTGATCTCTGGAGCTAGTAAAGGAGAGAGTCTGCGTGATGTGCAGCACTGGAGTCACCACAAACCTGCAAAATTGGAAAACAGAAGTAGTGGCCATAGTATCACATTATTTGATGTTGTTTCTTTCTTCTTCTGGGACGCTGCTACGGAAACTTGTTGGGGTGATGCATGAACAACTGGGTTGCAAGTGCTTAGCAGTGCAGATGGCAGCTGCTGACCTAACAAATGCCTTGAAATGCAGCACAATCAACTAACCCTGCAATGCCTGATTCTGTAACACGGGTGGGACCGGAGTGAGGTCGGATGCAGAGGTAGGTTGGGGAAAGTCGGGTTTGTTTGAGAGACACTTGTTGAGTTTTGGGTCACAGAGCAAGACTAATCTTCATCAGCACAGAGACACGAATCTGGGGATTGTTCTAAGCGCTTGTAGGCTGTAGTGTGTCAGCAGTGAAGCTCCTTGTTTTCTGAAGTGTGTCCTGCAGTTATATAAACATGCTCTGAAATGTTTTTACCTGCTCACTCTTAGAATCTTTTGCCTTCACTTGAAAAGCAACATGTGCAAGATCCCAAAAAAACACCTGTTTTTCTTTTTGCTATCTCTTTATTTAGAAAGAAAAGGAGGGATCTTTGAGATGTTTTTAATGCCCTTCTTAATCCTAATTTAGTTATAGAGAAACTGAAATCTTTTTTATACTGAGATTCAGCAGAAGTGAAGTTTTACAAGAGGTCCTGAAGAAGTTTTACAAGATTCTTCTGATTTGGGCATGGAAGTAATAATTGTAGAAATTCTCATGTGATCCCCCCCCCATTCCATAGTGTACCCTTGGCCTTTGCAAGTTGAGGACTTTAGAGTTGTATATTAATAGTTCACACTTTGCAACATCCAGTGCTGATGAGCTCCCTGTCTATGAAGAAGAAATGACATTTAGAGGAAAAAAACCCCGTGCAAGGCAGTGATATTGTGTTCTAGTTGCTGGCTACTGCAATAGCTGATTATAAATTTGACTGCAATCTATTTGTTGTTTGTTTTCCCCCCTCTTTGGGGCTGCCTGTAGCTGCCTGGGAGTGGATTTCCCACTGGGAAAGCTACCTCTGATTGTCACATGGGCTGTATCGCTGACCTTGCCTTTGCAAGTGTGATAGAGCTGACAGTGTGACAGAGGTACTGGTGACATTGGCCTGTTCAGCAGAGTTTACAATCATGTCTCTGTGGGGCTGACTGCTCTCAACTTGTTTTGTAGGATGTCTTCTTAATCTGCTTTTCCCTCGTGAGCCCGGCTTCCTTTGAAAATGTCCGTGCTAAGGTAAGGATGAGCTGGGACTGCTTTATGTCTGAATGTTCATTCTGTTCACTTTACAGCAGTGGTGGGAAAACATTAGGTGCTTTTTTTTTGAATTGTTGACAGGCACTGTGAAATGTATTTTGAAAAGGCAGAAATGTATTTGCCTCCCCTGTGAGTCATGGAAATTCAGGGCACATGAAACACTCCAAGTATGAGTTGTTCCTTTATGCGTTGATGGGGTAACAGTAATCTAAGAGTGTTCAGATCACAAACAGCACCTTTCCTTTTAGTACAGTTAAAAAGTTTAAGAACAAATGCCTGTAAAAATTAGGTTGATAGCACTTGTTCTTTCCATCAGCATCATTCCAGCACATGCTCTGTGACTGTTGCAGTATTTCATGTCCTTGGACAGCTCAGCTGCACAGCACATGGAGGGGTCTCCATGGGCGAGGGCAGTGCAGGTCAGGGTTCTTCCGGTGTGTGAGGAAAATGCAGCCCTTAATGGGGCACATTTTTAAAACATACAGAAGTCGCTGTTGGCTTCATTACCAACGATGTGCAGCTCGTTGTGTGCCCTGTTCTGATCCTGCCCTGATGGATCCTGGTGCTCCCCTTCACTGACTGACCCAGGAAGGACTGTGAGCCTTCCCGGGGTGACAGTCGAGGGCCTCTGTGGAAATCTGCCCCCACACGAGACACTGTTTCTTTTTCCAGTGGTATCCTGAGGTGAGGCACCATTGTCCCAACACCCCCATCATTCTCGTGGGCACCAAACTCGACCTCCGGGATGACAAGGACACCATTGAGAAGCTGAAGGAGAAGAAGCTGACTCCCATCACCTACCCACAGGGCCTTGCCATGGCCAAAGAGATCGGTATGAGCCTCTGGGGTGGTGTTTGACTGCAGCTGCATTTTGTTTGTAGAAGAAGCTGTACCTTAATTAAATTAAATTAAATTTAATTAAGGCTTTGGTGTGGGGTCAGCTGGGAGTGGTGCTGCTGGGGTCCTGGAAAACTGCTTTGTAACTGCATTTCTGCTTCCCCAGGCGCAGTGAAATACCTGGAATGCTCAGCACTCACGCAGAGAGGCCTCAAGACAGTGTTTGATGAAGCCATTCGAGCAGTGCTGTGCCCCCCTCCTGTAAAGAAGAGGAAGAGAAAATGTCTGCTGCTGTAAACATCACCCTCCCCCACCCCATCAATCCTGTGCTTTGCTCAAACAATGGAGCATTCACATGCCAAGTTTTTCTGTTATAAATTAGTTCTCTACCATAAATTCATGAACCAGTTGACAATTTCATGGTTTCATTTGTTTAAAGTATGATCGTTACCTTGCATTCTTCTAAGAGCAAACTCCTGAAAAGACACACCTATGTGAAGCCTTATTTTTAAAATCCTCTTCTTGCTCAATTAAGTGTTGCCAAACTTATCTGCTGAACTAAGTTGCTTTGTTGTGCTACGAACACTAAGCACTAAACTGTTTTTTAAAGATTCTTCTTGAAAATGACTCTAATTTCTGGTAGGAAATGCGAAATCTTTCTAGTTTTTCACAGTAAGTACCGGGAATGAGCAGAACACTGAGCTCTGACGTGTTTTGTTATTCAATGTTTTCTCAGTGCAGCCACTGCCTGTGGTGGGTGTTGAACCCCAACCCCTGGCAGTGACTGACACCCCCGAGTCACAGTGTAAATGCTTTATCATTGGTAAGGGCTTGGTTGCAATCTAGTTCTTGCTGCTGTGATTTAAAAAAATAAATAACTATTCTTACTGAAGTGTATCTAGTCCTTTTGACAGCATTGTGTTGTGATGGGTAAATGGAATATTGGGTTGGATCAGACAATAGTGCCAGACAGTATTTGACACTGTACAGATGACTTACACTACACTGCCAGGGTAGCTCAGCCACCATTTTCCCAGAGGTGCAGTAGTGGAGAGAGGTTGGTGTTCATAGGTAAATTCCTTTGAATTTCAAGTAGGGCATTCATGTAGGTTCAATTCTGGACCAGTCATTCCCACTTTTATGTAGTAAATGCTTTTCTTGTAGAATCTCTTCTTACTGAGCAATATAACTTGTATTTTAAAAACCTTTCTGATGATAGAAATTTGCTTTCTTTTTCTTTTATAGAGTAGAACGTTCAAGCATATCCTTATTTTCCCATTATTTCTGACCCAGTAAGTTATGCTTTCTGAGCTTTTAGTCTTATTAACTAGGTGTAAAAATCATGTGAAGCAGCTTTAGACATTTTAGTAATTTTTATATTTTAAACCTCTTGTAAACGACAAACCTTCTCGAGTGTCACTATTTGCAAGATCCCCCCCAGTGTAACCTGACTAATGCAGACAAGTGTTCTCTGTCACTCCATGTGCAGCATAGATTGTAACGGTAACGGGTCTGTGAGGTTCTGTAATTAGTGCTAATGTTCTGTACCTTCTAAACTGGCAGGAATATGATGTTGAACTACACCCTTTCAACCACTAAACCAAAATTTAAAAGTTGCAAAATTGTGAAGTTTTTACATTGATCTTTTGCTAATGCAATTAGCAGAATGTTTTGCATGTAAGAATTAATAAATCCTTGAATCACACTTGTGGTGATGTTTGAGTTTCTGAGCACGTGTCTCATTCCTGTGCCACTCTGCACCCACATCCTTGTCCCCTGCCCCAAGCAGGGCCGTGTGTGCAAACCAGAGCCCGTCAGGGGTGCTCTGGGAACCTGAATTAAACACAGCATTTGGCAACAGTTCTGCAGAGGCCTTGCACTCTCCCTGCAGTTGTTACAGCTCCTGCTGCTGCTTGGGCAGTGGTTCAAAGCTGCTGCCAGCCAGGGCAGGATCTCTGTTCCACTCCACTGTCTGCAAACAAAAGTGCTTTTCCTTTGAAACTGTTACAGTTTGTGCTTAAATGCCCCAGATTCCAGCCTTTATTTCCAGCCGAGCTCTGTGTGTTGGCTCCTCTCTCTCGTAGCTGCACCCGAATGTGCTGCCCTGCCCTCCCCACCCAGGGGCAGTGGTGGGTGACACTGCAGGACCCCAAGAGCAGCGTGGTCCCTGCACAGCCAGCAGTGGTACCTGTCATCTCACAGGAGCCAAGTTTTTATTGTGTATTTAATTTTGTCTCCATATTGAATATCACAGCAAGAACATCCACACAGTTAATTCTCAACCACATCACGTTACTTTTACTTACATCAGTTTTTTTAAATAAATGCTGCTGAGCCTTAAAAAGAAAAAAAAAGTTAAAATAGTTACACACTAAAACAAGGAATCCACTTTTTTAAAAGCAGTACAACTGGTTATATATTTTTGGCAGATTCGGATCCACGCTCAGTAGCCAGAGCTGGAGCTAATGACCAAGATGATGCCAGGGTCTGGACAATGGGGTTTTTTTTCCTTCTCGTTAAGTAGTTTTAGTTTAAAATCAATAAAAGTAGTGATGTGGATCAAGAAATACAAAAGACAGATTAAAGAATATTGCACATGTATATTCAAATAGCATTTAACCACAACAACCCCCCCACACACTGGGATACCAGCACAATCTGTAAGAAAAATAGTGCAATCACTGAGAACAGCCTGAGCCAGACCCGGCCTGGGCCAGCCCACTCACCCACCTCCAGCCCTGAGCTGCAGCAGCACTTCCCAGCCTCCTTCCCTGCAGCGCCCTCAGCTTCCCAAAGGTCGGGCCGGCGCAGACAACGGCATGAAGAGACTTGGAAGCAGAAGTGGATGTTTGGATTTGTAAGGACAGCAGGGCCGTGTCCTCACACACATTCACTGTGTCAAGTGCTCAGCTGCCCCCTGGGCTCCCATGGCCAGGACTGATCCGCTCGGGAAGAGCCCGACCTCCGGCACAGACGCAGACCTGGTGCTTTAGCCAGCACAACATTCCCCGAGGTCGCTGCAGAGGCAAGGGCAGTAAGACCCTTGTTCATTTTATGCAGTTTGAGAAAAGTACTGAAATCCACTTAGGCATGGAAGTGGAATGTGTCCTGAATACCTGAAACCTGCAAAAAAAGCCCCCCTGCTCCTCCCCGAGCTGTGTTATACTGCACCGGGGGTGTATTCTCGTGTCTGACAAGACAGACACTCTCCATGTTCCTGAGACAAACTGTTCAGAGCTTTGAGCACAACATCTGGCATGTGGTCTGTGATCATCTTGGGACTGATTAAAATGCTGCTGAAGACTGTTTCGTTTGACCATCTCGCCGCGTATTTAATGTCTGAAGAACACAACCTAGAAAAAACCACACCACAAATGCAATGGCTCAGACTCTCACATCTGGAACAGACAACCTGGAGATTCCTGACCTTGCTCAGGGAGGAATTGGAACCCTCTCACAGCCCCAGGTTGGCTCCCAGAGAGCTGCAGGTCTGACCTTCAGCAAACAGCTGGAAATGCTGCCTTTAAGTGTCTCTGAAGGCAGAACTACACCAAATTACACTGGGCCTTAGCTGAGAAAGCCATCAGAAGATCAAATAATCCTGCTCCCAGAAACGTGGAATACAGTCTGAGCAAGGAGAGGGAGGGGGTTAAACACTGCACATTCACATGGTTAATGTCAAATTTAGGGAATAAGTCACAGTAGTATCATTAGGAGTCTAGGCAATGGATTTAATGCTGCACATATGATGCACCATTCTGTAAAATAAAATCCCAAATACATGATGGGGGCTCTTGTGTGCTAGTCCAGCTTAAAAAAAAAACCCACCAGGATTAACTGCTCTGCTGTGGAATAAAAGATGGAAAAGAAATTAATAAAGTAGAAGAGCAGCCATCGAGAAAACCTTGATGGTCAGGCCCCAGGTGTTCAAGTATCCAGCTTGTAAAACCAGTATTAAAATCATTAAAGATTAAAGATGCGAAGCTTAAACAAAATAGTGATCTACTGAATGATTTCTTCTTCAATTCTTTCCTTTCTGTAAGGTACAATTTCTTTTTCATTCTGTAAGATGGTCTCAGATGTGCAAGTTACAGATGCTTTTATTTCTGTTTCGGAAGAATGAAATGAGAGGATATCAAGGCCTGTCTGGTTTAGGGGTATCAGGCTGCTTTGTCTACAAAAACCCAACATCAACAAAACACACAAAAAACCCCTGAACATGACACTGCCCCAACAAAGCCACAATCCTCACCCTTCCAGCAGTTTCAGCTTTCTGTTGTCTTTGTCTCAACCTCCTGCATCCACAGAAAAGCAGCAAAGGACAGGGAACCAGAGGCTGTGTGGGCACACACTGGTTACTGGGGCAGCTACACCTCTGCAGCCTGGCAATATTTGGCCTCCTTTTCATCCCCAGCACTCATGTGACTACTCAGCAACAAGGTATTTTGGTATCACTTCACTACTACCAGGACCTAAGACTCAGGCAGGAACTGCAGTCTGGCAAAGCTGAACTTAACAGTGTTAGTGTTTAAAATTCCCACTTCAGCACCTGCAGGATAAGGAACAAGCAGGAACAGTGTCCAGGGCTTGAAGCCGGGAGGCACAGAATAGAACCTGAAAGGCTGGGCAAGAACCACAGCGGGGTACTGGAGATGCAGACACATCACAGAGCTGGAAACACGTACTCTGAAAGTGAGCAGCAGCTTTAAGTAGGCTTAGGAGCACAGGCCAGTGGCATTCATTACTCTACTTACCTCCGAGAGCTGGATTCTTCTACAATGTGGATAATCCTTCCAGGAAGATACAGATGAGGATACTGAGGTGGTGAATTCTGGTGTGATTCATCGTCAAGGGCGTTGTAGGAAGGTGAGCGCTGAACCATTAAACTCTCCTCGGCCAGCAGGGGCTGGCTCAGGGCTTCTTGGTTCCTCCCATCCAGCTCCGTTGGGAAGTCATCAGGATCTCCTCCAAATACCTCATACCAACACCCCCGCAGCAAAATCTGGTACTGGAACCAGAGAGAAAAAAATGTCAAATTGAGGTTTGGCATCTCCTCAGGTAACTTATTCTACTTGTGTGCTTGCACACACATCATCTGGGACTACAATTAAAAGATTAAATTTTACTGTTTGCAGATCTCCCCAAACTTTGCTAATCTCTCCCTACCGAATTTTCTCCACAGTAGTTTTCATTTCACCAGTGTGTAACCCAAGCCTATTGTAACACTACAAAAATAATTTCAGGTCTTTGATGTTGAGCACTGATATCTCCCAGGTCTTGATGAATCTTAATTTCCAACAATACAGCTTTATAGGACAGGAGAGTAACACAAACGTCCCTGAATTAAAAACACTTTTGTTCCAAAACACAATTGTAACTTTCATCTTTAAGATCAAAAATACACACACCAGTAATTGCCCATTAAAGCTGGGGCTTAACCCAGGTAACCATTCCACTGACTTTTAACCAGGACCTGCATGTAGTTACCTTGGGTCTGTTGCAGTTTGCCACAATTCTCACTATTCTCCTCTTTAAATCCTCCATGTTGGGCATACTTAACCTGTTCAAACACAGAACAAAGTAAACCAAAGCCTCCTATTTTCTGCAATCAAACACATCTCTGAAGATTTAAAAGTGTTTCCAACTCACCTTGCAACAAGGTCCTTTCCAACAATGACTGAAACAATGAAGTGCTTAGTGTAATCTGCAAGGGATTTGCTTAAAGAAAAAAAAAAAGATGCAGTTTAGATGCACTAAAGAGAAAAGCACACTTTAGTTTTACAATAATGATTATCATTCAATAAAAATACAAGTATGTGGCTGCAGCAGCAGCAGCATTTGCAGTCAGTTCCTCAGTGGGCTTTCAGACTTCCTTGCTAAAGATGCCAGAGTAACTTCAATGCTGCTGGGGTTTGTACATGTCAAACAGGCCAAGGTAGACAAGTCTGGTAAGCATTTTATTTCTGAAACATTTATTTTAAACTGTAATTGTACTACATGACAGAATTCCCTAGATGTAGTTCATTCTGTAACACTCCCCCAGGAACTCAACTGCAATTCAAGATGGAATTATAATTCTAGGGAAGAATGTACAAACAAACTCTTAGCACAGTCAAGCCCACAGTTACCATCTAACACATCTGTCAACCACCTGGAAGACTTTTACATCTTACTCAGAGAACCAAACAACAGAAGTTTTTACCTTAGGAGCCCTCCTGGAGGAGAGAAGGCGTAACACTTCAGTGTGGGGAAGGAGTTCCTGAGCATGATGGCCAAGATAGACGCTGTCCCACCACCCAAACTGTGGCCAACTATCACAAGTTTATATTCCTGAGACAGAAAGTGAAGACAAGCTCAGATGGACACAGGAAAAAAAAGCTTTGTGCAATTTTTCTGGCAAACCAAATTATTTGGAAGGTAACTTACTGGAGCAATTGTGAAAGCCTGGTTTAAAATGCCATCGTTTATTAGTTTTCGATAGATGTAAGTTGCAGCTTGAGTTATTCCCTACAAGAGAGCACGTAAAGTTAGAAGGGTGTATCTAACCTGAGGGGTGATGCATGTCTAGTTTAAATACACCACCATCACAGAACAACCTTCTTTATGCAAAGCTGCTCTGCTCTTTAACATGCTCCTGACAGAGGTCTGGTTATAACCACGTGGTCTGTACATGCTGTATGTAAGCATTACAAATTCTGCCTTGCA